ATATATGCATAAGTGAATATCTAAACTACAGTCACTGTCAGGACAAAATGTAAATAAATTTCCAGAATTTGACATAAAATTGACAGCTACCATCTACATTGAGCAAAAGAAAATCATGATTAATGGTTCAGATGGATTAGTAGAAGTGGGCCAAAATTACTTGCAATAAAATCTCTTACATTAACTTACATTAAAAGTAAAGAAGGTTTATACTTTCTGCTCTAAACTTAATATTTTGAAGATACTAGATTTTGTTCTGACAGCAACATCATAATAATTATAATAATCCTAAGACGCAACTTTATAAAATATCTGCAGAAATGTAAATCTAACACTCTCAGCAGAGAATCTTTTATCTCCATTTAAATTTTTTTATTTGTTTACACAGCATGAAAGCATATGTAATAATAGCTTTGTGTTCCAGCTCTTGTACATGAAACTGCAGCTCAAATCACATTACAGCAGTTTTGAAAATAGACGTTGACGTAGAGTTCTGTATTGAAGCTGAACTTCTTTATTTTGAATAAAGGAGTTTGGTGAACTTTATAGACGTTGCTAAACTGTCACTGTTTTTCTGAAGTCATGCAAGCAGTCAGATTCACACACAGCCCCCCGGTTCAGCCCACAGCAGGCCAGCCCCCTCACGCTGAAGTCCTAAGGAGTGGTTCAGCCTGGACGGCTTCTTGAATGAGGCAGCCAATCAGAACAGAGATCCCCATTAGTTTCCACAAAGTGGGTGCTAGTCTTCCTGGGTTCCACACAAGAGCAATTACAATAAAAATAAAACAAACATCTTTTATCATAAAGACAAAAAAAAAAGTCTAATACTTAACAAGAGATAACCTGTAATAACCTTCACTTATAACCAAAAATAATATAATAATATAACCAAATAAACAATATAATATAACCAAATAAACAGTACCCCAATAGCATCTATATGAGGTTCATCAAATATTGTTTTAATAGCTTTTTAAAAGAAAATCTACTTATAATCTGTTTGATGTCAGTCGGGAGTTCATTCCGAGCTAAAGAGGTGCTATAAAGTGCTATAACAGTTCTTTTCATATAATTTGATCGTGGACTCTGCACCACCAGCTGACCAGAACTCACTTGATGTGTATTTTACTCATGACAAAAATCTGAAAATTTAATTTTTTTCACAAAAAAAAACTTTATATTATTCCTAATAACATTATGCATGAATAACAGGAGACTAAACTTCAGTTTAACCTCCACAGTTAGCTTTATAATCGTTTATACATTTCACACACATTAAGGTGGAAAGAACAGTGAAGAGCTTATTTGGCTGCTCTGTTCTGTACAATTAGAAGTTTCTTTCAATATTTCTTGACCAAACCGCTGGACAGTACTCCAAGTGTGACAAAACAAGTGACCATAACAGAAGATGGAACATATGCAGAACATTTCCTACAAATTGCGATGTCTTTTCCCATCATAGAGACAATATGATCAGTATGATCAGACCAGGATGATAAATTACCTAATTTGATGCCCAGTAATTTGGTCTTAGTGACCAAGTGCTCAACTGAAATCAAGTCCACAAACAAGCTGTTTACATATCAGTCTTAACTGCACCTCCTGTTTAATTTTAAGGGATAAAGGGAGGGAGGAAAATGATCGTGACTGTTTGTGGTACACTGCAAAAAATAGTATCTTTCTTAAGTGAAATTATCTTAATTCTAATCGATCTTTCTAATATTTCTTATTTCAAGATGGTTGTGCACTTATTATAAGATTATCTAGCTTATTTCTATTATTATCAGGTAAAATTCTCACTATACTAGAGGATCGTTTGGCTGGTTTTAAGCACATTATTTAAAACAAGCAAAATTATCTGCCATTATAGTGAAATAATTTTACTTAAATGACTTAAAACAAGTGAAAAAATGGTGGGAAATAAGTTATAATCTTAAAATAAGCTTATAACAATCGGCAGGAGAAAAATCGGATTTATTGACGAGATTTAAGATCATTTTACTTCACAGGACACCATTTTTTTTTGCAGTGCACATGTACAGCACAGAACTAAAACAGGAGAGAAGTGTGTGATATGGGCCCTTTAATGCTGTTGTGTTAGATTGTGTGTGAACATGTTTGTTTGCTCCTAGAATAGAGATGTGCGCTTGTTTGTGAGAAGATAAAGCAGCCTCTTCTCTCTGCGCTCGGCTCTGATGAACAGTAGGCTTTACTGAAGGGAAATTCTTTGGCTGAAGGCGGTATTGTCCTGCTTTCAGGCTCAGAGTGAACAAAAGGCTGATCTCTCTAAAGACTCTGTATCCAGCGCTCGGTTATAATGCACTCCGCTCAGACCAGGAGGATCCTGCGCTGTGTGTGTGTGTGTGTGTGTGTGTGTGTGTGTGTGTGTGTGTGTGTGCGCACGCCTGATGCCCGGCTTTACACACCTGCTTGAAAAGAGCGCGCACGGAGGAGTGATCACAAAGTTTCTTTTCTTTTCCTCCCCTCTCTCTGCTTTTCATGCCTTTTTCTTTCTTTCTTTTTTAATACAGAGTCCTCTGTGCCTTCACATTCGCTCGCATCGCCGTCTGTAAGGTCTTTAAGTGATGGTGGGTTTTCATTTCAGAGTTTGTGAAGCTACAGGGCTTTTCAGAGTAATGTTGAAATGGGCAGCAGTGGCTGATCTACAGTACACGGTAAAAATAAAAAGTTCGGTCTAAACTCGCTGATGAACAGTACAAGTCTGTTTTCTCAGTGATGGTAAAAATCTATAAAATTGCGTACTTTATAACTGCTTCAGTAGTTTGGATTATTCTGACGTTCAGTGTTTTATCATAATTATAACAGGAACAACCATTAAAATAAACACACGTCTGTGAAATAAAGGTGATCTTTTATTTTAGTTCATTTACGTTCTATTTTATGTAAATTACCAACAGCAGCCTTAAAATACAGTATATATGGTTTATTTATGTGCATTTTTGCCAAGAAAAAAAAGTTTTGACCATTACATTTTACAGTATTTTGACAGGGAAAATACTTTTGAAAATGCATTTTCCAATTTAACTAACCAAAATAAGTTACTGCAACCCAGTAAGATTCGAAGATAAACAGTGAAGTTGTGTTTTTTTTTTTTAATAGTCTATATACTGCTGTCAGACTAAGTACTTTAAAGCTAAAGCCAAACGTAGTGTTGTGCAGTTTCATGATTGGCACCCATTGGGGTTTTTCTTTTTAGGTGTGCCACATATTTTGGTGTTTTGGTTCATTTCCGTGTGTGTGTGTGTGTGTGTGTGTGTGTGTGTATGTATGTATGTATGTGTGTGTGTGTATATATATATATATATATATATATATATATATATGTATATGTGTGTGTGTGTGTGTGTGTGTGTGTGTGTGTATAAACACACTTTACTTTTTTACTTTTTTTTATATATAAAGTGTGTGTGTGTGTGTGTGTGTATGTATGTATGTATGTGTGTGTGTGTGTATATATATATATATATATATATATATATATATATATATATATATATATATATATATACATGAAAATTCTTCCCCCTACCGAGAGTGCACCTCTGCACCGAGTTTTAAAACTTGGTCAAAATAAATCCACAGCCATCCTCACTGACCACATACATCTCCTTAAAGATTTCCTCTCACTTCACTTCAGTGGAACGTTTGTTCAGGACCGGAATCCCAAACTGAGTTCTAGAATCAAAGCGTTCTGCTGTGAAGTTCAAGAGACAGAACCCTCATTAGGCCTGTGCAGCAGGTGCAGAGCCAAATTAAACGGCCCGCGATTAGGGAGCTAAGCTATAACGATCACAGGACTCGACTGGGGCAGAGTTACAGCATTAGCCTGAAGTTAGGGGCTCTGCTCTCTCCAAAGAAGAGGATTCAGATAAAGAATAAGGGGGAGAGGTAACAGAACAGTCCGTCCTTCGGTTTCTCTAATAGCAGGACGTTTTTCACCAAGTGCAAAGCTGCACAGAGCTCCACTGAGGGCTAATCGCTAAGGATTAACTTGTAATGAGGTTCTAATAATTCCTATAGAAGTAGCTCTTCATAAAGGGGACGTTTTGCAGAGTGTTGGCTGGGTAGTGTCCATATGGCCCCATACACACACACACACACACACACCTACAGTACAGTGCAAAAGTCAGAGACCACTTATTTCTGGTTAAAATGGCAAGTTTTAAGAAGTACAAGTTATTCATTTTTCAGTAAACAGAGATTTAACAGAGAACGACTCAAAAAATATATTGTTAAAAATTGTAATAAATTGTTTAGTGTTTAATATGATTTGAGTATAATTGCAAATGCATTTCTTTCTTCTTACGCACTTCTTATCTCTTCGTAACTATCCTTCCAAAAGCCTAGTGCTCAGAAATGTGTGTGTGTGTGTGTGTGTATATATATATATATATATATATACTTGTATTTATTTTCTGTATTTATTGTTCTATGTCCCTGCACTATGTCCTGTCTTGCACTATGTTGTCTGTAATTGCACTGGAGATCTAGCCTAAAAGTGTTTCGTTGTACTGTACAACCCTGTTTCAGTATAATGACAATAAAGTTGAATTGAATTGAATATATATATACACACATTTCTATTTCTTTCTCTCTCTCTCTCTCTCTCTCTCTCTCTCTCTATATATATATATATATATATATATATATATATATATATATATAGTAAAAGCTTTTAAGTCTAAACTCTAATCTTAACCTCAGTAACCAAGAATAAATTCTCTCATTTTAAAAAAAAAAAATAGAAACTTTGAGATTTTGTGAAAAATCAGTTCACAGAGTCGGGAGCTTGCGTTGGTTCTGTACGTTAAAAATGTCTTTTTCCTCTTTTTTTTACTACAAAGTCAGAACGTTTTTGTCGTGAAAATGTACAAAAACAAGCGCATATGTACGCACGCGGTTTGTTGGTGCCCGTCTGATGAACAGAAGTGAGGGCTGGAGGTGTGTGCTAAATATTTCATTTGGCCTTTGTGTTTCAGGCCTCCAAGACCCGGCACCCCTGAGACCCCCAAAAAGACGGCCCCCCAGGTCTCCAACCCGGCCCTGCAAGGACAGATCAAACAAGGTAACTACAAAGAGCTCTCTCTCTCTCTCCCTCTCTCTCTCTCTCTCTCTTTCTCTCCCTCTTTCTTGTTCCCTCGCTCAGGGGAAAAGCCATGATGTAAAAGCGAAAAATAACATGAGAAATCTCCTCTCACTACGGTGAAGCCAGAGCCCCTCAGCACACCCAGCTCGGGGGTTCAGCCGGGACCTCGGGGGAGTAAACGCACTTGTACTTACGCTATGGCTCCACACAAACTCTGGGGCTGAGGACGGACAGAATGTAGCAGCGAAATATTTACCGCATCTCATGAAAGAGTGCAGTTCTTACGAAGAACAGGTGGAATTTTAAATGTGTCCTCATTTGCACGAATTCCCCTTTGAAGTTTTTCAGCAATCAGAAAGTCAGGTTAAGGTTCTAATTGTTTTGCCCATTTGCTTAAAGGTTAAAATCACTATTATTAATTAATAATAATTATTATTATAATAAAAAAAAATCCCCTTTACAATTAGTAATTTAGCCAAGTAACTTATATCGACATTGAGAATGAATTAAATATTGTTTCTAAGTAAGTGAACAATACAACAGATTAAACTTAGTTTGAAATTAATCAAGTTAATAAAATAGTCTTGATAAAATTATGATTAATAAATCAATAATATCCACATGATTTTGCTGGTTTAATCATTTAGCATTTAACAGTTATTTATGCAAGTTTGTTTTTGAATGTGAAGCTCTCTTGAAGCATTTAAAGTGGAAAAATAATTTTATTTACTCATTTAGTGGCCTATTAATAAACATTACAGACAAAATTGTAACAGTGATACAAAAGCTCATTTTCATTTGTTGTCTCTGGCCAGATGACTGTAAATTAGCTTATATTGAACATATAAAATAACACATTATGGAGAATGAAATGTAGCCTAACATAGTCACAAAATAGATCTAGCAGAATACACAGAAAAACCTACTTCAACATAAACAACACATATGGGCCCTACAATTATGCTCACTTAACAAGCAGAAGATCGTGAATGGATCAGTTTAGCTTGTAGATGCAATTAGAATCAGGAAAATGCTATTAATAATAGAATAATAATAATTGAATGGTGTCAGTGTTGATGACTATGTGGACAATTCTTTCCAGTAGGGGTTTTATCAAGCGTAATGTGATGTGATTTAGCACTGATTGTGTCATTCCTGTAATGAATTACATCACATTACACTTTTCTAAGCATGTTGAAAATGATCAGTACATGAAAACACTGAAATTTCGTGTTTCGTTAAAAAGAGAGTGTAATTAGTCCTGTTAAGTTGATTAGTGTGTGAAACACTGAACAGAAGTCACTGTACTCTGTAGGCTTTTGACAGTGTTGTTTAAATCTGCCACTTGTGGGGCTTTTTTTGTTCCAACTTCTCAAACTTCAGAATATTTCTGAAAATATATACAATATACAGAATATATATGAAAATGTTTTCAGGTGTGATGATATTTGTCAAATCACCCACTCCTATTTTCCGGCTACTGTTGTGCGTCAAATCTGTTTATTACCAGTCAAAGTTTTCACTGCAGGATAAATCAACAGTCTGCACACCAACAAAGGCAGCAGCAGAGTGTAAAGCGCCAGTTCACCTCGAAACAAAACGTAGCAGTTGGACTGCTAGACGTCTACAGTCGCAGAAGAGTTGAAGCTGTTCTGAATCTGGGCCCACGCTGTGCGATTTTTAGCCCGATTTTATCCCCGATTCACCCCTTCCGACACATTTTACAGTCTGACATGATTTTTCGGGTTAGGAGTTTGGACAAAAGCAGTTTACGTGGATAATCTGGCAGTGTGAGCAGAGAAACGGGTCACTCTCCGAAGTGATCAGAGGCCCTCCGATATTGTCAAAGTCCTGCCGTGTGTGATTCAGGCAACAAACAGTCCATATCCAGTACAGTAGTGTGCAAAAGTTTGAACATCCCCCGTCAGATTATGTTGTGGATTTCCTAAGTGAAAATGTTTTTAGACACATCCACCAATTTTTCAAAATTCCTGTATAATTCAGTGAGTGAGACGTAAACAGAGTGATTCAGAGTGGTTTGGTGTGAAATGGTTCAGATGTCTTTACAGTGGTGGTGATAGGAACCAGGGGTCGCCATGACTACAACACAAATATAGACATTTTATTTACTATCCAGAACCACCAGTGAACCTACACAAGTCTTCTGAGTTTATATGGAATGTCGATGATGGAAAATAGTGGAAAATCTGAAATAATAAGTTTTCTTTGGGGACTGTTTTGCCTGACAGTGCCCTGCATGTATCCCTCCACCATGAATGGCTTTTAAAAAGAGGCCAAAATCTTTTCAAAACTATCGTAAAGCAGTGTCTCGGACATCAGGCAGTGCATTTATAACCATTTCATGTAGTAACTTTCTGTGAGGGAGCTTTTAGAGGTGGACGTCTGGTTCCTCTCACCACCACTGTGAACAGTTCTGACTTGGTAAGTTTCTCTAGAACAGAGTGTTTCACACCAAACCACTCTGAACGACTCTGTTTACATCTTAACCATTTATTTATGCTGAAATTCTGAAAAATTGGTGGTGTTCCCTTTTAGATATGAAATTTTGGCCAGTATGTTAAATTCAGGAGATAAATAGTAATTGTGCATTATAATATCAGGTAACACTTTATTTGAATCATCCACTTTAGATGCTTTGTTGATACTTTCAAGTTAAGTTCAACTATATATCTACTAAACTGACCGTAATTTTCTTTAACTCTAAACCTGCTCTAATCCGAACCCAAACCTAAACCCAACCCTCACCCTGGTCTAAATCCTAACCCGAACCCCACCTAACTGAGTTTCAACAGATGGTTTGTTAACAGCTTGAACGTCTGTAGATGGTCTATAGTGGACTATCTAAATAAAGGGACGCTGAATATTAACTTATTTTAATGCACTGTTGATGGAATTTAACATATCGGGAAAAATAAACATGCAAATTTTTTCATATTCATATGTATGTATATTTTAAGACCGCCATATAAAGCTTAACTTGACCGTGAATGTTGTAGACCACGTTGGTCCCCCCAACACGTGGCCTAATTTGTTTCCCTGCTGCAGCTCCATTGTCCCGACACAGTGGTGCAGTGGCGCGTGTTCACTTATGCATGCCGCACGCCCATTTCCTCCCTTTCAGAGGAAGTGTGACGGGGTGACCCACAACAAAGGCCACGTGTCGCCCCTCGATTTTCTGGGCCTCTTTCTCGCCAGACGGGCCGCTTTCTCTTTTTCTTCTGTCATATGCTAATCACCTCACTCTTTTTCTACTGCCAGAAGAGTTTAGGCTCTCCGTGTCCAACTTTCCGACACGTGCCTGTCCGACGAATTCTCACGCTGGGCGAGAGACTCGCCGACACACCACAACGCTCCATTTAAACGAATAAAAAAAGGAGTTTGTGGAGTTTTTCTGCTCTTTTATCTGCGAGAGCGTGAGAGAGCTGGGCTAAGATGTGTTGAGCTTATTGATCCTTCTCCGCTCTTTAGGCTTGAAGACATAATGAAAGTTATTCAACGCATGTAGCTCCCCCCTCTTCTTCTCCCCCCCCCCCTTCCTCTCCTCTCCTGCTCTTGTCTGTACTTGTTTCCTCCCGTATTGATCCGAATCGGTTTGTGAAAACTGCTCTTAGGTTGTATTATTAAGTGTTTTTAATGGAGTCGTTCTTTAAGTCTGAGGCTGGATAAAGGCTCCGGCGCGTGCCGTCCTTGTTAAACGCAGACGGGGGATTTGGTGAAACAAACGCGGCTCTTTTATTTTTTTATTTTATTTTTTTCCTCTCTTTCTTTTTTTTATTTTGATTTCTCTGTCTGTCACATAGCCAAGCATTAAGATAAATGAAAGGGCTTTCAGAGAGATAGAGAGAGAGTGAGCGAGAGAGCAGCAGAGAGAATGAAACTGTTTGTTTCATAGCGTCGCAATTGATACAAAGCTGTTTGGGAAATGTTTGCCTTTTGTGACGATGAGATCCTGCGACATTCCTTCCATCAGGAAATACTCGCAGTTGACCCGATGCCTTTTTCTCTGCCGAGATTATAGAACAAAATTAAGCTTCTATTTAAAAAACACTTTTAAGGACCAAAAAATGATGATAACCAGTGATATCGAGTGTGACCATGATAACCAGTGATATCAAATTATGTCAAAACATGCAATTTGAGACTCCGATCAAATGGCATGTTTTGGTTTTCTAAGTGGAAATAAGTTTACACTCCTCTACAGAGAACACACTTTCACTCTTCTTCAAATTTTCAAACAATTTCTGTTTATTTGCTCAGTTTTGCATATTGGAGGAAAGAATAAATGACATGCAAAATGTGACACGTCTTTTACACGTTTGATGTTTTATTTTTTCCTTACTTGTTCATCACATTGTGCTGAAGCGTGTTCTCTGTAGAGGGTGTTTTAACTCATTTTAAAATCAGCACAACAAACTTTTGCATACAGCTGCATTCTAATTAGAGCTTTATCAGCATCATTTTTGTCTATACCGATAAATCCACGCAAACGTAAAGCTTCACTAGGTAAGATTAGGGGGTATGGAGGCCTCTCTGGTGCGGAAGGACTTCTTGAATGGTCCAAAATGGTCCCCTAGTCCCTACACTGGAAATCTGGATCAGTACATAGAGCACTGTTGTGGGGAGCAGAATTCGTGATGGTAATAAATGATTTTGAACTGTCGTATGAGTTCACTCACTACTGTGACATCAACACTGTAAACGCCCTGCGGTCGGTCCACTATAACAGCTGAGTCTGACCGCACACCTGAATGTAAAGAGCTCTGTGGAGATGCTGCCACTGTAGCTGGGCTCGCTAATCCTGCTCAAGGAAGTTGAGCGTAAATCTTCAAGCCAAACTGTTCAGTGCATTATGGGTATCCCCTATTGGCTAGGGTACGTTGGTGTACGCAACACACTTAAAAATTGTGGTTCTTCAAGGGTTCTTTAGTAAAGAAAGTGGTTCTGTATGGTACATGAAA